CAAAAGGCAACATGATAAACAATGGATGGAAATTAAACAAGGAGAGAAGCAACATAGAACTAAGGAGAAATTTCCTAATGGTGAAATTGATTAACCAATGGCACAATTTGCTATCAGAAGCTGTGGGTGCTCCATCACTGGAGGCTTTCAAAAAGAGACTGGACAGTGATGTATCTGAAATGGTATAGGGTCTCCTGCTCGAAGAGGGGGTTGGACTACAAGACCTCCAAGATCCCTTCCAACTCTATTATTCTATGTTCTGTGTTCTATGTGCTAGCCAGTATTTTCTATCCTCCGCTTGACACAGCTCCAGATTTCACCACAGATAGTGGTCAAATCACAATATCAGGTGACCCTCTCAAATAAGATTGATTTTGTGCTGCAATTTGTGATTTAAATTTAATTTTTCTAATCTATGATTGTAATAAAAGATTTAGATTTGCTTGATTGATTACTTTGAGCCAACATATTGAATTGTGGGAACAATTGCAGAAGGGAGAGCAAAGAGAGAAAAATTGAAGTCCTGTAGAAAGGCATGGCAATATACTAATTAACCCTATAGCACCAATCAGTCACCAATTGCTAAGAAAAACAATCTGACTTTTACACTAAACTACTTTTATTATACACCATGCAAATTGTAGTAAGAAGAGTTGTGACCTATTGCTGGTTGGCTGTCAAAACACATGTATGATTGTAATAAAAGATTTTGATTTCATTTGATTACCTTGAGCCAGTCTATTGAGTTGTGGGAAAAACAGATGAGGTGTGATAAACGTGTACTTAATTCAATTCCTGGAGAAAGGTATAGCAAGCAACTAATATCTACTATCAGTTACAAAAGACTTTTCTCTCTCACTCCATCCCAAATTACCTGTGGAATTTTGTAGACATGTACACTTTCTGCCATAAAGGATGATGTATCAGGACCTAGTCCCCCAATGATGGCCATGAGATTCTTCTGGCTATCACATTTGTAGTTTGGGACAAATTCCTGGGATTTGAAAAGGAGGTCCAGGGTGGTGCGATAGGTCATCCTTGGGTTGTTGTAACTGTCATAGATGTGGAAACCGAGAGTGACATTAGGTAAGATCTGGAAGTCCTCATTGATCTTCTTCACAGCAAAGGCCAAGGCGAGGGCATGCTGGTGGAATTTGGTTATTATACTGCAAATAGGTTAAACACACCCAGTGAACATAATAAGTTGACAATTCTTTTATGGTAAAAGCATTTATATATGAGTAACAACCATGTCTGTCTCTGTTGTAAGTGAGAAGATGAGAGTCTTGTAAAACACTCAATAATTTGTATAATTTTCAACCACATACAGCATTTCCATGATTTGCAACAAATATCTATAGAAGAAAGTTGTGATTATTTTTTTTCAAGCTATGGTATTTATTTATCTCAATCTAGCACAAAATAGAATACAATCAGCAAGTATCACTTTTTTAATTTATGTAAGTTATACAAGGACTGCATAGACTAAATAATTATACTCCTTAAATGTTCTTCAAAAGACTTCTTGCACCATAATTTCATAAACTTCGTGATTAAGATTTTAACACAATGGAAAGAAAATGATTTGTTTTCCCACAATCAGATAAGTTTGAAAGGCAAGAAAGCGAGAGTAAGTTTATATACAAAACCATACATTTATTGTCAAAGAGCTATTAGTCATAGAAGCAATTTTGGGAGATCTGGCTAAGACTGGAAAATGAATGGAAAGAAAAAAATCCTTACAGTGGTAAAGCATAAGGTTTTAGAGAAGGATGTTCCTTAAACTCAATTTCAGAAAAGGTTTGAATTATCTGAGACACCATCCCACCCACGATGAGATCACCAGGCTGGTACCACTCATGGGGAATCAGGAAAGCATCACTGGCAGGGCAGCTCAGAGTAACTGCTTTCTTCCCCAAAAGCATCAGAAGGAACAACATCTTCAGGCATTTCTCATAGTGAAAATATTTGTGTCTCCTGTCCATAAGGAAGTTTGTATTTCAGTGGTTCATTCAATGATTGAGCCAAGGTTGATATCTAACAATGTATCTAATCAGAAGTCCCATCATTTTTTCTTTAAAGTTCCTTGTGTGTGCAAATTTGTATACTGACTATCTCTAGGATTGAACAGATGTTCTGGAAAAGAAGAATGGAGGGAGGAAACTTGTAGCAGTTAATTTGAAGAAGCCATTATTAACTCTTTGTGCCAAACTCTCTGGGGTTCAAGAGTTACTTTATAACCAAATTGATACCGCAATTCTTGCTGGATTTAAATACCTTTATGCACAGCCCTTGATGTTTTCACCTAGCTTAAAAAATATGGTGATTCCTGTAGGAGATAATTATTTTGTTTTTGGTGAGAGAATAAGTGATTCAACTGAAGGTTCAGCTTTTTGCTCAAATAAGCAAATGCTAATAAAAGTAATCTAAGCGACATTGGCAATTAAAAGGTGTTGAAATTTTTAATTTCAAGTGTTGAAATTCATGTTTATTCCTTACAATGGAGCAGGGTTCCCATTTTCTATATAAAATGAATAGAATTGTTTAGTACACAAAGCGGAAATATTTTTTACATGTTAAGATCTGACAAATAAGCCAATAATTTCTTTGGAGGTTTTATGCACATTTTCAGTCAAATAATGTTGAAGAATGAAAAGATGACAACATTAATGCTGATATTTAAAAAGTTGCATTAGCCATTGACTTGAGTTTAATACTCTACCCCTCCAAATTTTTAGTTATTGATTTACTTATTTTATTTTATTTTAATTGTGGGTGCTCCATTATTCAAGAAGAGATTGGACAACCTTTTCCCTCAAATGGTATAGGATTTCGTGCTTGAGCAGGAAGTGGGACTCTAAGATCTCCAAGGTCCCTTCCAACTCTGTTCTTTTGCCCACAAAAGCAAGAAGGTAGATTGGGCTGTGAGAGAGTGAATGGGTCAAAGTTACCCAGTTGGCTTTTATAGCTAAGGTGGGACTTGAACTCATCACCTTCCGCTTTCTAACATGGTGCCTAAATCACTAGACCAAAGTGACTCTCAAATCGGCTCTCCAATAATATATAATATATATATTATTATCCGGAGAAGGGCGGCATATAAATCAAATTAAAAAATTTATATATATATATATATATATATATATATATATATATATATATATATATATATATATAAATTTTTTAATTTGATTTATATGCGCCCTTCTCCGGAGACTCAGGGCGGCTTACAATGTGCTCAGCAATAGCCTTCATCCTTTTGTATATTTATACAAAGTCAGCTTATTGCCTCCACAACTGGGTCCTCAATTTACCTACCTTAGAAAGGATGGAAGGCTGAGTCAACGTTGAGCCTTGGCGAGATTCGAACCTGCAGTAATTGCAGGCAGCTGGTCTTAATAACCAGCTTAATAACAGGGTGCCTTAGACCACTGTACTACCAAGGCTCTTGGTAGTACAGTGAAATGAAAAATATTTCATTTATGAGTGAATGCAGCAATCATTTTTGAGAAGGGAACTCCAAAGCCACAAACCAGAATAGGAAATACTGAACTGATACTCAAAGAACAGAAAATTTGTGGTTGCTGGGTGTTACTATCACAATTTCCATGGCTTTGTTTCAGTAGGTTGTGTGTTCCTCCATTGAACCCTTAACTTCATGTATATTGTCACACAAGGACACTTGAATGTCTTCTCTGAAACTTTTGTTGCTACCTTATGAAATTATAGTCTGCAACATATTTCCTGAGTGCAGGTTCCATTATTGTTGATTGTCCCATAAATGATTTTCCAAAAATCAACTGGACTTTTTTTGTTTTTGCTCAAAGACATTTTTACTTTTCATCCAAGAAAAGTTTTTGCTCAGAATCAGAATCAGAATCAGAACTGAAGAAGCTTCTTGGATGAGAAGCGAAACATCTTCAAGGAAAAACCAAGAAAGTCCAGTTGCCTTTTGAAAAATCGCTTTTGGGACAACCATGACCTGGATGACTAAGAATCTCCATAGATATTTATTGTTGGTTGTTGATCCTGAGATGCAAATTGTACATAAACTTCAGGATCTTGTTTATCAATTCTAAGGATGGATGCTGCATGCTAATCCAGTTTTATAAAACTATGTTTAATCATATCCCCATTTCTAATGGATTTTGCCAGGTTTCCATTTCATGCAGTTGCCAAAGGCCACAATAATATCTAACATCTTTTAATAACAGATTAATTAATTTAACAACTTTATGTGGTTGCGCATTTTGTGGCAATTGATGCTCGACAGCATGCAAAAATCCAGTACATGTGAGATAATCATTATTCTATAATAATTATTTAAAAGAAACAAAAATTAGCATAAGCTTCTAGTAAAGGATGAGATGGAAGGAAAAATACATTTCATTTCCCTTCACTAATTCTTTTGTATTACAGTATTAAAAGAATAGGTTACATTGGAAATAGGTAGATAAATAAAGAGTGAGCATGATTAAATATATATATATATATTTCAGAAACTCTATAATGTTCACATTTCAAAGACCCCAGACCTATGTAAAAAGGATATTCCCCTGATACCATGTTAAATACATCTTCATAAAATGTATTTCTCTTTTTACTACATTTATGAAATAATTTATAAATAGAAAATATAAAAACCATGAAAATGGCAAAGTCCCGGGTAGGTACATGTAAGGAGGTACATGTCAGCCTCCGCCTCTATATTGCTTGCTTGCTTTGGCTGCCATTGTAACGCAGGAGGGGGGAGCTGTCTGGGTTTTTGGGAGTGGGGAAGCGAGCTGGTGGAGATGTCTCGTAACAGGGAGTGAATTGGAGACAGTTTTTCTCAGCACTTTCTCTGCAGCTGGAAGGCGTGCTGATAACAAGTCAAGGTCAACCGTCTTGGTATACCAGAGGGATGGAGCCATCTGAAGCTGCACCTCACATGACACCTTGGGGGGAATGTGGATTGGATAATCCTGACTGGACCCTTGGGGGGAGGGTTTTGGGGATGCTTTCTATATGTGAAATTCATGCCTATTGCCTCAGACCTTGGTTTTCTTTGGTTGCATTCAGTTCATAGTCAGTAAAATTACCTTTCTCTATGAAAATGGAGTCGGGTTTTTTCTTTCTTGAGTTGTGAAAGGAGGCACACCTGACATTTGGCGGGACCCAAAAGAAGGGCCTTCCCCATGATGGCTCCACTCTCTGGAACATCGTCCCTTCAGAAGTTAGACTGTCCCCCACTTTGACACTGTTATGAAAGGTCCTGAAGGCCTGGTTTTGCCAGCAGGCCTAAGGAACCCAGACTGGGGTGAAGCCCATCAAATGGCTTATTTGACTGTGTGTTGTTGCCAGAGGGGGATATAGTTTTTTATTATTTTCTATATTGTGTTTTATTGCCAGTAAGCTGCCTTGATTGGTTGTGAGCAAGTAGGTGACTTTCTAAATTTCCTACATAAATAAATAAGGAAACTGCAAACATTGGACATGGTTTGATTCAATATCTCTAATCTTCTAACACAAGAGCTGGATTCTCAATGCCTTGCTATCTTGGGGTGTTGAAAGACAGAAGGTGTTTAATTAAAGAATCTTGGAGAATGATTGCAAATGCAGCAGCATGAGCATTTCTTTTGCAATTAGCAACTATAATAAATCTTACTGATCAGGGTAATCCTCATCAATCTTCTGTGGTCAGAATTAAGGACTTCTATAAGTCTCCTATGGATAGCAAAAAACAATTCTCTCTTTATTTATTTATTTATTTATTTATTTTTGTCAGCAATTTCTCAAAGCCAGAAATATTACACGATGTGCTAATTCCTCTTTGTGAGTTGCTCCCTGTGGTTGAGGTCAGGCCGCAAAACAATGATGTAGCATTTTGGCAGAAATATGCATCCCAGTAATGCAGCGCTGGAGGACAAGATGGAGAAGACCTCCACAGCGACCATGGCTTTGCCTTTTGTGCTCAGATAGGCTGGAAAGAAGGAGATCCACACACTGCAAAAGGCCAACATGCTGAAGGTGATGAACTTGGCTTCATTAAAGCTGTCAGGTAATTTACGAGCAAGAAAAGCCACAATAAAGCTGGCAATGGCCAAGATACCCATGTAGCCCAAGACACAGTAGAAGAAGAAAGCTGACCCCTCATTGCATTGTAAAATCATTTCTTGGAGCGCTGAGTGCATGTCCAACTCAGGGAATGGAGGAAATGTCGACAACCAGAGGATACAAATCCATACTTGTAATAGAGAGCATGAAAGGACAATAGAAAAGGCCAATCTTTTCCCCACCCACTTCCTCATCTGAGATCCTGGTTTAGTGGCCATGAAAGCCACAACCACAGTGATGGTTTTGGCCAGTACACTAGAAATAGCCACTGAGAAGGTGATGCCAAAAGTTGGTTGTCTGAGAAGGCAGGTCACTTTGCCAGGTTGGCTGAGGAAGAGCAAAGAGGAGAGAAAACAGAGGAGAAGAGAGACCAGGAGGGTGTAGGTGAGGGACCGGTTGTTGGCTTTCACAATGGGAGTATCCCTGTGCTTAATAAAAGTTCCAAGTACCCAAGATGTCAAGAAGAAGAGACAAAGAGCTGCTGAGGCTAAACCAATTGCTAAAGTTTCTTCAAAATTTAAAAAGACCAGCAGTTTCAGGATACATCCTTCCTTTTCTTTATTTGGATAATGATCTTTTGGACATGGAAAACAGTCATCCATATCTGGAAAAAAAGTCAAGGCATGTTTTCATACATTCCATATTTTTGAAAATAATGTTCTTTATGAGTGCCAACCATTATCCCTCTCAAGTGTTTTTTCTATTGATTACCAGTTGGATCATGTTTCTATGGAAATTTTTCCATCATTTTAAGCTGGGACCAGCATAATAGAAGCGCAATGGAAAAGGCAATTTTCACAGAAATACGGTCCTGTCTAGCACTTTCAAAATTATTAAAATTTAGACCATTTCGACTTTTCCCATTTTTCCAAAACACAGAGAAGAAATCTTATATCTGGTGTATATTAGAGCTCAGTTCTTATGGGCATTGTGATTCACAGGTATAGAAATGAATATTCATCTTTAAGAACTCACAAAACTACACCATAGTAGTGTATTACAATTTGCTTAGGTGTATCTAATGAGAACTTGCTGCAATGTCTAACCTACCCTTTTGATTTGAAATCTTCCCTTCTGGACATGGAACACATTTATAGCAACAGAATTGCTTTCCTTCCAACCCTTTCTTCCAATATCCAGGGGAGCAATGGTCATTACACAGAGAAATTGGAAGTACCTGGTGATAAACATAAAAGATTTCACAAAAGGAAAATTTTAAGCAGCTTGTATTATTCTCCTTTATGCTGGTGGTGGGAAGAAGAATATTTGAATTATCAAAGGGTTAGTCCAGGTGTATTTATAAGATAAAGGTTTCCCCTTCCAGTTCTGTTGAACTCTTGGACACAGTGCTCATCTCTGTTTCTTGGCTGAACATTGTTACCTTCCCACCAAATGGTACCTATGAATCTACACACATTTGCATGCTTTTTAATTATTAGGTGGGCAGGAGCTGAGGCAGGAATGAGAGCTCACCCTATTGCATAGTACTTAGTTCTCAACCCCTGGCTGTCAGCATTCCAGCTGACAAACTCGGTGTCTTTAACCACTGAGCCATCACATTTTTTAACTATCCATTAAAATGTTGACATCATAAGGATGAGCAAAGGGCGTGTTTGGAGAATGGCAGGCTGAATAAAGAAATATATGTGATTACAATATTATGAGAATCCTGTGACTCCTATGATTTCAAATTGAAATGCAATCCAAATGTGAATACCTGTCTTTTAAATAGTAATGTCATTTTGTCAATTTGATGAAAGCTTGATCATTGACAATGTTTGTACAGAACATGCCATTTCAAAAATCACAAATTAGATTTCTAAAGAGACTGGGTCCATTATTGGATCATAATGCATCAAGGAATAGTTGATTAAACGAGTCCACACCTGGTTAAAAGCTGGGTGCCACACAATCATCTCTCCATCAATGATTAATTCCTTTGCATTGGGAATATGAGGATCAATCTTTCCAACTTTGACTCTCTGAAAGGATCTGTTTGGAAAAGTGATCAAGTTGGTGATGTCAAATCCACCTGTTGCTTCTCCTTTCTCATTCAAGAACACTCTCTCCCCAGCTGAATTGTTGAAAGAAATGCCTTGAAGAAATAAATGGAGCTACTTGAAAGAGAATGGAAGGGAGTTGGAATAATAATAGTAATGAAGTGGCCAGTATATTTAAATTTCTCTTAGTCATTCTTTCCATTTCTTTAACAAATATCAAATAAGTACACTTAGAATATAGATAATTTACATTTCAGAGAAAGACAATGATCTGTATTAATTTAATGTTATTTCCAGGGGGAAAAATGAAACAACAGCAGTTAACAAAACAAAATCAAAACAAGGTATTGACATTATAAAACTTAATTCAGACATGATTTGTATTCACTATTTAAACAAGTGGACAATCAAACTTGGACCACATCTCAACTCATCCTACATTTGTTAGAGAGGGGGGGGGGAGAAGGAGGGAGGGAGGGAAAGAGAGAGAGCGCTTTCAAAGGGTAGAGGCCAGAGCTAAAAAGGACTGACATTTTGTCCATTCCTCTTGAACATTGATAGAGAGAATGCTCTGCATCCCAATTCTCAAAGGTTCATGAGCCAAGGAGAAGTAGATTAGAGAACTGGCTGAAGATAGTTTTGGATAGAAATAGCACTTAGACTTATATAGTCTAACAGTCTACAGCTTCACAGTGCTTTGCAACCCTCTCTCTAAGTGGTTTACAGAGTCAGCATATTGCCCATATCTGGCTCCTCATTTTACCAACCTTGGAAGGATGGAAGGCTGAGTCAACCTTGAGCCAGTGGGCATCAAACTGCAAAACTGTTGGCAACCAGCAGCCAGTACAAGTAGCCTGCAGTACTGCTTTCTAACTACTGCACCACCATGGCTCTGGTGAGAATCATTCTTCACAAGTTAATAAGAAAAGTAAAATGTCTACATTTCAAAAATATTTTCTTGGGCACAAAAAAAAGAAAGAGAGAAAGAGAGAGAGAGAGAGAGAGAGAGAGAGAGAGAGAAAGAAAGAAAGAAAGAAAGAAAGAAAGAAAGAAAGAAAGAAAGAAAGAAAGAAAGAAAGAAAGACTGCATTCACACACAATGCAATTATTTTTTCTTGGAAGCAGGTTGGATAAATTCACAAGACAGGCCAATTCTACGTGTAGGTGAAAAGTTATTTATACAATGAAAATAGATGCATACAGTAAATCCCATTGACTACACTGAAATTAGGAAAAAACATGGTTTATGTTCATCCTCTTATTTTATAAAACTAATAGCTTTGTTCCCTCAGTCTCTCTATTGATTTGTAGCCATAGACCAGGGTAAATAAGCTATATTAGATTGTGGATGATTGTGGATAATCATTGAAATACATGATAGGTGTGGAAAGATTACCTGCCAGGGCAGCAGATTTGCAAATTCAACCCTTTGAATACCTCTTGGTTGGGATTTTGATCTCACTGCCTCATGCAAAGAATGTGCTACTGCATAAACAGCATTGTAGATACTGTAGCTTTGGCCAGTCATCTGAAATTCAAACAGAGGACCAGGCAGATTCTCCAAATTCTCTTCTCCAGTACAGGTTTCAATGATTGTTGAAGACAATTCTGTATTTGAAAATGAACAATCAAACAATTGTTCCCAAACCTCTTGTAGAAATCCATCTTTGTGGGTTGAAGGTTTGATGATTTGAAGAAAATTTTTAAAGCCTTGAATGTCTCTTGAATGCACAGCAAAGGAAAGAGCCCCATGGAACAACTGGAGACCCCAATTCTTTTGAACTCCCATCAGGATGAAATCAACTGAATTCATCACGATCCAAACCTTCCTAAATGATGCACTTTCTTTATTTTCGGGATCACGTAGAAACATGACAGTTCTGAGCCACGCTATTGAAATGGATTCTCCATGGACAAGAAAAACATTCGATTTTTGATCCATCAATTTATTTGAAATAGTTGAGACTGAATCTAACAATTCTGACAAATCTTCCAAGTGGAGATGTTGTGGTATTTTTTGTGTGAAAGCTAAACAGACCCCGTTCTTTGAAAGCAAAGGCTGCAATTTCTGAAAAAAACGTTCTTCCTTATTTTCAAAAGCAAAGACTCCAATCCACATCCATCCAAAATGCAGAAGAAGTTGTATAAGTCCAGTGTACTGATGCTCCTCTTTTGGGACCATGTAATAAAGTGGAAATAACTCAGTAATCTGAATGTCTTCTTGGGCAAAGGAACCATAAGTAAACTAAACAAACAAAAAAAGGAAATTCGTTATTCATGAAAATCATGGGAGAAATGTGAAGATTCCTTGTTAGAAACTTAATGAAGGTCTCCCTATATTGAACATTTGTCCAGTTCAGTGTAGATTATGACAATTCTGATGAAAAAGAGAAGCAACTAAAACCCCATGATGAAATATTTTCTCATCTGAAATATAACTAGATTACAACCACACTCAGTTTCCTAATACAGAATTCCAATATGTTCATCCCCTTAGAACATCTGGAAACTTGCTAAATATCTGAGCTCCTGAACTCTTCTCAGCCTAAGGAAAGAATTCTTAAGCACTAGATTTACTGGATTACCTTCTTCCCTTATTTGTAGCAAATAAAATAAAATACTTATACATGAATGCCATGCCCATCCTGAAGGAATAGAAAGAATTAATCATGTCTTCATTTACTACAATTATTATAGAGATCTCCAAAAGTACTACAATCCTTCAACAATTTCCAGACAAATCAATTGAGTTATTACTATCGGACCCAACCAAGACATACCAAGGGGAGTTGTCACCTATTGTCCGGTAGTTTGGTGGAATCTGGAGCTGAGTTGAGGGCAGCAGTGAAAATGCTGGGTAGGTTTGAGTTGGGGATGGGCAGGAAGTGACTGAAAGGAGATCTTCCCTAAAACCATGAGACATAACAGCAGTGCCCCAATATTTGAGGGGCTTCCACAAAGGTGGTTTTCCACCATGAGAAACAATGTATGGAAACTGAACAAGGAGAGAAGCAACCTAGAACTAAGGAGAAATTTCCTAACGGTGAAAATGATTAAGCAATGGAACAACTTGCCTTCAGATGTTGTGGGTGCTCCATCACTGGAGACTTTCAAAAAGAGACTGGACAGTGATGTATCTGAAATGGAATAAGGTCTCCTGCTCGAAGAGGAGGTTGGACTAGAATATCTCCAAGTTCCCTTCCAACTCTATTATTCTATGATGTTCTATGTGCTAACCAGCCTTTCCTATCCTCCTTTTGACACAGCTCCAGATTTCACCACAGATAGTGGTCAACCATCAGGTGACGCTCTCAAATAAGATTAATTTTGTACTGTAATTTGTGATTTAAATTTAAATTCTCTAATCTATTATTGTAATAAAAGATTTATATTCTATTGACTGATTATTCTGTGCCAACATATTAAACAATTGGAGAAGGGAAGAAAAGAGAACAAAATTGAAGTCCCACAGAAAGACATGGCAAAATACTAACTAACCCTACAGCAACAATCCTTCAACAATTGCTAAGAAAAACAGTTGAGTTTTACACTAAACTACTTTTATCCTATACCAAGCAAATTGTAGTAAGAAGAGTTGTGACCTATTGCTGGTTGGCTGTCAAAACACATGTATGATTGTAATAAAAGATTTTGATTTAATTGGATTACCTTGAGCCAGTCTATTGAGTTGTGGGGAAAACAGAAGAGGATTGATAAACATGTATTTAACTGAATTCCTGGAGAAAGGTATGGTAAGCAACTAGTATCTACTATCAATTACAAAAGACTTTTCTCTCTCATTCCACCCCAAACTACCTGTGGAATTTTGTAGACATGTACACTTTCTGCCATAAAGGATGATGTATCAGGACCTAGTCCCCCAATGATGGCCATGAGATTCTTCTGGCTATCACATTTGTAGTTTGGGACAAATTCCTGAGATTTGAAAAGCAGGTCCAGGGTGGTGCGATAGGTCATCCTTGGGTTGTTGTAACTGTCATAGATGTGGAACCCGAGAGTGACGTTAGGTAAGATCTGGAAGTCTTCATTGATCTCCTTCACAGCAAAGGCCAAGGCGAGGGCATGCTGGTAGAATTTGGTTATTACACTGCAAATAGGTTAAACACCCCCATTGAACAAAATAAATTGACAATTCTTTTATGGTGAAAGTATTGATATACAGAATGAGTAACAACCATTTCTGTCTCTGTTGTACATGAGAAAATAGGAGTCTTTGTAAAACATTCAATAATTTGTATAGTTTTCATCAATGTAAATCAGTAAACACTGATTTTCAACAATCAGTGCCCCTGATTTGCTACAAATAAGTATAGAACAAAGTCTTGATTCCCCCCCCCCTCCACAAGCTATCACATTTATTTCTATCAATTTGGCACAACATAGAATACAACCAGCAAAGAACACTTTTTTAGTCTATGTAAGTTATGCAAGGATTGACTGCACAGATTGGATATTTATACTCCCTAAATGTTCTCCAAAAGACTTCTTGCAGAATGGTTTCATACATTTTGTGATTAAGATTTTAACATAATGAAAGTGATCTATTTTCCCATACTCTGATAAATTTGAAAGACAAGGAAACAAGTGTAAGTTTATATACAAAACCATTCATTCATTCTCAAAGAGCTATTAGTCATCTAAGCAATTATGGGAGATCTGACTAAGGTGAGAAAATGAATAGAAAGAAAAAAATCCTTACTTTGTTAAATCATAACGTTTTAGAGAAGGATTTTCTTTAAATTCAATTTCAAAAAAGTAGTGAATCATCTGAGACACCATCCCACCCACGATGAGATCACCAGGCTGGTACCACTCATGGGGAATCGGGAAAGCATCACTGGCAGGGCAGCTCAGAGTAACTGCTTGCTGCGCCAAGAGCATCAAATGGAACAACATCTTCAGGCATTTGTCATAGGGAAAATATTTGTGTCTCCTGTCCATAAGGAAGTTTGTATTTCAGTGGTTCATTCAATGATTAAGCCAAGGTTTATATCTGATAATGCATCTAATCAGAAATCCCATCATTTTCTATTTGAAGTTCCATGTGCGTGCAAATTTGTACACTGACTATCTCTAGGATTGAACAGATGTTCTGGAAAAGATGAAAGGAGGGAGGAAACTTCTAGCAATGAATCTGATGGAGCCATTATTATCCCTTTGTGCTAAACTCCCCAGGGTTCAAGAGTTACTTTATAACCAAACTGATACTGAATTTCTTAATTGTTGCTGAATTTAAATACCTTTAGGCACAGTCACTGATGTTTTGGCCCAGCTAAAAAAAATAAAAAAATATGGTGATTCCTGTAGGAGATAATTATTTTGTTTTTGGTGAGAGAATAAGTGATTCAACTGATGGGGTTTTTTTTCTTCAAATGAGCAAATGCTAATAAAAATAATCTAAGGGACATTGGCAATTAAAAACAGCCTTAAGTGTTGAAATTCATGTTTAATATTTACAATGGAGCAGGCTTCCCATTTTCAATATAAAATGAATAAAATTGTTTAATAGAGAAGACAAAACATTTTTTTACATATTAAGGTCTGACAAATAAACCAATAATTTCTTTGGAGGTTTTATCCACATTTTCAGTCAAAGAATGTTGAAGAACAGTATTGATACTGATATTTGAAAAGTTGTATTAGCCATTGTCTTGAGTTTAATAATCTACCCCTCCAAATCTTTAGTTATTTATTTACTTATATTATTTGTGTCCTGACTTGTATTATTTCTACAAATAACTCAAGGCAGAGAAGATATCTAACACACCTTCCTCCTCCTGTGATTGTATATGATGTCAGATTTCGATGTCAGGCACTGACATATGACAGATATGCTATGTTATGCTATGCTATACTATATATCATATGATATGATAGCATATAATAGATATTATAGCAGTGTTCCAATATCAAAAGGGCTGCCCCAAAGAAGAGGGGGTCAATCTATTCTCCAAAGCATTTGAAAGCAGGAAGAAGCAATGGATGAAAAAAATCAAAGAGAGAAGCAACCTAGAACTAAGGAGAAATTTCCTGATGGTGAGAACCATTAATCAGTGGAACAACTTGCGTCCACAAGTTGTGGGTACTCCATGATTCAAGAAGAGATTGGACAACCTTCTGTCTGAAATGATATAGGATTTTGTGCTTGAGCAGGAGGTGGGACTATAAGATCTCCAATGTCCCTTCCAACTCTGTTATTTTGTCCACAAAAGCAAGAAGTTGGGTTGGGCTGTGAGAGAGTGACTGTGTGAAAGATACCTAGTAGGTTTTCATGGCTAAGGTGGGACTTGAACTTTTTGCCTTCCACTTTCTAAACTGGTGACTAAATCACTAGACCAAACTGACTCTGAAATCTGACACTAGCTCTCAAATCAAATATTTCATTTATGAGGGGAATGCAGCAATCTTTTTTGAGAAGGGAACTCCAAAGCTACAAACCAGAGTACAAAATATTGAACTGATACTCAAAGAAAACAAAAATTGTGGTTGCTGGGTGTGACTGTCAGAATTTCCATGGCTCTGTTTCAGTAGGTTGTGTGTTCCTCCATTGAAACCTTATCTTCATGTATATTGTCACACAAGGACACTTGAATGTCTTCTCTGAAACTTTTATTGCTACCTTATGAAATTATCGTCTGCAACGTATTTCCTGAGTGCTGGTTCTATTATTGCTGGTTGTCCAAAAGGGGCTTTTTCAAAAAGCAACTGGACTTACTTTGTTTTTGCTCGAAGGCATTTTACTTTTTATCCAAGAATCTTCTCCTGTTTTTGGTCAGAATCAGAACTGAAGAAGCTCCTTGGATGAGAAGCGAAACGTCTTCAAAGAAAAACCAAGGAAGTCCAGTTGCCTTTTGAAAAATCACCTTTGGGACAACCATGACCTGGATGACTAATAGTCATCCATAGTGATTTATTGTTGGTTGTTGATCCTGAGATGCAAAATATACATAAATATCAGGATCTTCTTTATCAATTCTAAGGATGGTTGCTGATGTTAATCCAGTTTTTATAAAACTATGTTTATTTATTTCTTTATTTAATAATTTTTTATTGAAATTTATTATAATTCAATACAATACAATCAGTCAGACCTTTTCTACGCAGGTTAGATCAATTCTTTCTTTATGTTTCATTGTTCCAAATACATATATATATCTTAAAATTTGTATTAACTTTCATTTATTTTTTATTCGGTTATCAATCCACCTGTACCAATCATCCCACACCGTATAGTATTCTGAATCCTCTTTTTCATGTAGTTCTAATGTTAATTTGTTCATTTTGGCACATTCTAAAACTTTCTAATAATGAGTTCTTCTGGTGTGTCCTGTCCTTTCCAATGTTGGGCATATGCTATTCTCGCTGCGGTGAGTATATGTATAATTAAATATCTTCTTCTTTTCCCATATTTAGTCTTTAGTATTCCCAGGAGAAATGTTTCAGGTATCAATTCATTCTTTTCACTAGTTAATTCTTGTAGCCAATTTTGTATTTTTCTTCAATACTTCTTTGCTTCGGGACAGGACCATCACATATGAAAGGTTAAGGTTAAGGTTTATTAAATTTGTATACCGCCCTTCTCCTGAAGGACTCAGGGCGGTGAACAGCTAAAATTAAAATACATACAGTATAAAAATTAAAATAAATTAAAACAGAATTAGATCAGTTTGGCTTCCCCAAATTTTAAAACCCTTTATCCATAAAATAGCCCAATAAAATTTTAAGCCAGCCCAGCTTGCTGAAATAAGAAGGTCTTCAACGTTTGGCGGAAAGTATGGAGGTCCGAGATCAGTCGTATTCCTGTGGGTAGCTAGTTCCAGAGGGCTCTCCCCCTGGGGGTTGTCAGTCGACATTGCCTGACCGACGGCACCCTGAGGAGACCCTCTCTGTGGGAACAGATTGGCCGGTGGGAGGTTATCGGTGGCAGAAGGTGGCCTCATAAATACCCAGGCCCTAAGCCATGGAGCGCTTTAAAGATGAGAATCAATACCTTGAAGCGCACCCAGAAGACCACCGGGAGCCAGTGCAGCTCGCGCAGGAGAGGTGTTACATGGGAGTGCCATGTCACCCCGATAATTACCTGCATGGCTGCATTCTGGACCAGCTGGAGCCTCCGGGTGTTTCTCAAGGGGAGCCCCATGTAGAGAGCATTGCAGTAGTCCAGGCGAGAGGTGACGAGGGCGTGAGTGACTGTGCATAAGGAGTCCCAATCCAGAAAGGGATGCAACTGGCATATCAGGCGAACCTGATAAAAAGGCACCCTGGCCACGGCAGTCATATCCTCTTCTAAAGACAGTCGTGCATCCAGGAGGACGCCCAAGTTATGAGCCCTCTCCGTGGGGGCCAATGACTCGCCCCCAATAGCCAGCGATAGCACCAGCTGGCTATATTGGGACGCCGGCAGCCACAGCCACTCAGTCTTGGAGGGGTTGAGTCGGAGCCTGTTCCTCCCCATCCAGACCCTCAGGGCCTCCAGGCACCAGGACATCACTTCAAGGGCATCGTTGGGGTAGTCTGGGGTGGAGAAGTACAGCTGAGTGTCATCAGCGTACAGATGGCACCGCACCCCAAATCCAAAGATGATCTCACCCAGCGGCTTCACATAAATGTTGAACAGGAGAGGCGACAGGACCGACCCTTGTGGCACCCCACAAACAAGGTGCCTCAAGGTCGACCTCTGCCCCCCAGCCAACACGGACTGCGACCGGTCGGAGAGATAGGAGGAGAACCACGGTAGGACAGTGCCTGAAACTCCCAACCCCTCCAGCTGGTGGAGCATGATACCATGGTCAATGGTATCAAAAGCCGCTGAGAGATCTAATAGGACCAGAACAGAGGAACATCCCCTGTCCCGAGCCCTCCAGAGATCATTA